CCAGTTTGCATGGAGTTCCGGGTGCCTGACTCAGACACACTTGGGTACTCTGGGATTGCTTCTCGGAACACGAAATGCCACATCCTACACTCTCAAACTCCTGCCATCTTCACCAACGAAACGAAGCACATCTGTATGCACGCACGCACGCACGCACGCACGCTAGCTTTATAAAGGCAATTCCATTTACCGTTATACTTTCCAATCTTGCAGTAGGTCAGGTCATCAGTCGCGCATCATCAACTACTGGTGATATTATTTGTTTGCCTTGGTTGTATTGCTCGGCTCGCCCTCCTTTCACCGCATCTCGTGAGGCCTCGTTGCACCCATTCGCAAGTTCTACGGGAACACAGAATCTCACAGCGTCCATGCGACTCTGCACAGCATTCTCGCCGACATGGACAGAGCGAATCCCATGTGGCCAGGATATTCTCCAGGCCCTAAAGAGCGCACCCCATCGCCCCGAAGCAGACCGCCATCCCTAAATTATGCTGGACTGATGGAACGTCCCAGGAGAGAGAGCGGTTATATACCATACCAGAATGCTTTGTATTATAGAGATAGAGACGACAGCGACAGATGGCGTGCCTCGCATACACGATCATCTCGCAGTGTAGGAAAGGAGCGCGGCATGAGCAGCAGCCGCAGCCGCAGCCGCAGCGATGATGGGAGATCACACCATGACCGGGCACGCAGACATGGACATAGTCGCACCCACAGCCGGAGTCGAAGTCGTTCTCATGGTCCGAGTCGGAGCCGAAGTCGTCCACGCTATTCACCTCAGGACGACCCAGATCGGCCGAAAGACAAGTACACTCTCAAGAAGGCAGCGAAATGTGCCGCACTCGGTGCTGCGCTGGAGGCTTTCCGAGCTCGTAACGAACCTGGACCGTGGATGGGCCGTAAGGGAAAGCGTATGGCACTTGCTGCAGCCAGTGGTGTAGCCGTAGGATCTGTGAGGCAAGGAAGCATGAGCGCCGCAGGATGGTTGCCATACGCCGAAGCTTTGTGTACTGGATTCTTCGCAGTAGAGTGGTATAAAAAGATCGGGCGAGATACGCATCATGAAGAAAACGCGCTAAAGGAGCAGGAGCAGTGGAGGAGAGAAAGGAGGGAGAACCGGTCTAGGGATGGTAGATGATTACAGAGCTTGCGAGTAAATGACCTCAAAGATCTGTGCATAAAGTGCATTCACCTGTTCGAGCATCCAAGTCCAGTCCTGTGATAGACTCATCCCTGGTTCCAGCCCTTCAATTGAAGGACGGTAAAATCTGTGAATTGATCAAATCCGAGGCTTGAGAGCCCAGTCGAGTCTGCGTAAGAGGTATTCATCAGATCTCAGGCTGCGGTTGCAGAGAACAATGAAAAGATAGCTCGGGGAGAAAAGTGGGCCCTACATGTCGAGCTGCCTTCCTGTAGGCTCGCCTTTATACAGCCTCACTTCCTGGAGTTGCTTCTGCTCTTCACCAACGAAGATTTAGCCCACCTGGTATGCGAGTTCTAGGTCTGGGCAATTCAAGCATGCTCGCGTGGCATTCTCTCAAGCTGCACAAGCTGAGCGTCGAGCGAGGAAAGGGCGGACAGTCGATATACAGACGGGTAAAGCTGCTGGGACCGCCTCAGGCAATGCGCTAAATCTCCAAAATCGGTTCATTGGGCACATAGGCAACTGCGCAATTGATTCTGCAATTACCAGTCCTTCGTCAACCGTCAATCTACCCCCGGCGCAGGAGGCTGAGGCGTTCCAGCTCCACTCGGCTTCTCACTTCCCGCAGCCTGCACTCTCTGCGGTTCTCGCTTCTTGGCCGCGAAGGGATTGCTGCCTCCCATCAGCAGGCTGCTCATCATGTCCATCATCGGATTGCTTTGGCTTGGAATCTTGATGCCAAAGTACATCTCGCCGACCTGCAACATGGGTTCGTCCCACGTCGACACTTCCTTGAGATGTGTTCCGTAGTGCGATTTGAGTGTCTTGAAAAGATCGGCGGAGCCGCGTTGAATTGCGAGAAGCAGCAGTCCAAGAAAGTTGAGAAGAGGTAGAGATGGATATATACGGATGTCGCTGCTTGGGCTTGATATGCTCTGAACTCCAAGGCCAGGATGCGAAGTGCTTAGTCGTGAGGTGAAAAGGAGCAGGGTTTTATTCGCTGCCCTCGTGTTGCCGACCAAGAGGTAGGGAAATACAGCTCGCGCAGCATAGTGGCTTGCAGTGCTCGGCTCGTCCGTCTCGTACCATCTATATTCCATATCCGCAAAGACAGCAGCACTGTCGCTTGTTCCCAGCGTCAGGTGACGTTCTGCGTCGTACACTTCTCCCTCTTCTGCGTAAAGTGTTCCGATCACATGGTGCAATTCGGGATCACCTGCTGGAAACTCGCCATTTTTCGAACTCCACTCTACGATTCCAGCGACGAATTTCTTCTTCCCTGGTTCGTTGAGAGGGAAGGCGCGTAGTAAGCTGAGCAGCCTCGCCTTATTCGCAGTGTCGGGCTTCACTTCGGATTTCTGGTAAATGTCGATGAGGTATGTGCACAGATCGGCACCAGAGGAGCCTGCGCCGGCTTTTAAGAGAAGAGTTGCGCCCGAGGAGAGGAGCTCTATTGCGTCGGCGTAGGAGGAGGATTTGACATATCGGTTGGCGATGGTAAGGAGTTGTTGGTGTGCTTCGTAGAAGTCACCCTCTTCGATTCTACACAAGTGTTAGTCTTGCAAGCATTTTCTGAGGCATGCATGTTCCACACTTCGCCTTCTGCCTGGCTAATACTTTTTGTATCTTAGCAGACATATCGGGTATGTGCTCAATGAGAGAGAGTCGATCGATTAAGGATGTCTCGTGAAGACAGCAAGCTTCCAAGGTTGTTGTATTCCAGGTTGAGCTTCCACGCCTGCTGACGACTAGCGACAGCCCCTATCTCCACTCAGACCAGTAACAAAGGGTATTCGTGCATGTGATATAGAATCACGTGCTCCGCAGCCTAAACCCGCAACTAAGCTTTCCAGCCCCTCTACTAATAAAATAAACTCACGTACAGACTAGATAACACCCTTTGTTACTACTAGTAATAAAGGGTATTCGTATATATAATATAGAATTACGTATTCTATAGTAGACTTTTCTAAACCTATAACTAAACTTTACCCCTCTACTAATAAAATAAACTCCCGTATAGACTATATAATACCCTTTAGAATAGCGATTCCTATATTCCGCGCCCTAATTAGTAGAAAAGTTTGCTTAGCTCTATATAGTTTTTATCTAAGCCCGCTATAGAGTAGTCTATATACGGGACGCGGACCGCTATATTCCGTAAAGGCAGATTGTCTAATAATAAAACGCACTTTAGAATATAAAAGCCGGAATCGCTAATATTCTCGTCTAGTCTTAGGATAGTAATAGCCTAAGTCTATAGTTTAACTATCTCTTAGTACTTAGACTAGTAACTGCTAAAGACAGTTAGGATAGTAGTCTAAGTAGTAGCCTACCTATATACGTTATAGTATATAGATTTTCTAATGCTTTCTACTACTACTTAATAGATATAATATCGAAAGTTAGCTATAGTATATTTAATTACTAGAAAATTCTATTCTATAATTTTATATATTTTACAACTCTAGACTCCCTCGAATTAGAATTAATAGACTTTTATATATAAAGTTCTCTAGTAATAGTGTTTTTTTAGGTATAATTTGCTTCTAGTTTATAGGTAAGTTATCTTCCTAGCCTATAGCTAGATTAAAGCTCTCTAATAATAACATTTTCTAAATACAATTTGCTTCTAGTATATAACTAAGCTATCTTCCTAACCTATAGCTAAACTATCTCTACCCTAAAAAGTTAACTTTTATTAGGCTTATAAGATAAGTCTAGAAGTCTTTGCTATAAAAAGTTTCTTTATTCTTATACTACTATACTATTATAAAAAGCTAAGTATATTATTAAGAGTTTTAATATAAAGTTCTAAAACCTCTACTACTAGCCTAGGGGAGAGATAGATCTCTAAGTATTATTTAGTATAGAAATTGCGCTATACTATATATAAAGCTACATATATAACTACTACTAATCCGAGCGAAGCCGGATATTTCTAGGCTAAAGTTAGAGTACCTAAGAAGCTTACGATAAAGAGTACGGAAACGAGGTCTAGAAATATTAGGCTAGGGGCGGATAATAGTTAGACCTGCCTTCTATTATATACTAAAGCCGTATATAGAAGGCGTATTATATATATATATATATATATATTCGCCTATTACGTATAGAGCCTACGGCGGGAGTTTAATCTAATAAACCGCCTTTATAAAACTATTCTAGTATTCTAACTAGTAGAAATTAAAATATATCCTCTACGTAACTTTAACGTTAGGCATTTTTAAACACTTATAATAATAGTAATATATACGCGCTAACTATATACTATATACGCGCGGATATATAATATATACGCCGCCCTTCTACGCCGATATATAGCATGCCTAGCGATCTTCTATAGTGCCTAAATGCTACCTATATATTACGAAGCCCTAGTAACTATATAGTAGCTATAATACCGAATTCAACTAGTACTAGCACTGCTACTACTAGTACCTATACTTTAAGCTAAAAGCTAGTCTTATACTAGTAAAAGGGTAGTCTATTCTACTAGCACTACCGCCGCTAAATAGTAGTAGAGTACTAGTAAAAAAGACGTAGTAGTAGTAGAAAACATAGAGCGAGGAAGGATAAACCTAAGGCAAAAAAGGCAAAAAACTATAGATAAGTAGTACTCGAAGTTACTCTTACGGATACGATATAAACCTCGAGCTTTTAACTCTTTAAGACGAGTTACGAATTAACTAAGTAAATATACCTACTAGACTTCGACCTTATATACTTCTAAAAAAGTACTACTATAGAGAACCTACTCTAGAGAACTAATTTCTTTCGTTAGACAATAGGCAGTTACCTCTACTAGTTTATTAGGCTACTAGCTGCCTTAGAAAAGGCCGAAGCCCAAATCCCTTATATACCCTATATAACTTAATAACTAGGTATAAAGGATTACTATAACTACTTACCTAGTTATAGCTAGGCGGCGCTTCGTTTTAGTTAATTATTAATAGTTATAGGTCGTAAATTCTAGTATTATTATATACCCTTGTTGCTACTACCTAGGATAGTATAGATAGTAATAGCTTAGTTAGAAGGGGAAGTTAGATAGGTAAAGTTTAGATAGTATACTAGTTAAGTATTTAAGTCCCTATCTAGAAGCTATATTAATATTAAGTTAGTATCGATAGTATATATAAACTAGCTATCTAAACTAGCACCTAAACTAGTACCTAAACTAGCCCTCTCTAAATACGCTAAATTTTATCGATTAAGCGTATTTGTTACAAAAACTTTTTTGCTAATCGCGTCGATTCTATCGATTATATCGATCTTAAGCGATCCTAAGCGATCCTAAGCGATCCTAAGCGATCCTAAGCGATCCTAAGCGATCCTAAGCGATCCTAAGCGACCGAGTCGTAACCCGACTCGCGCCCGGATCGCTTAGGATTAATAGGATCGCTTAGGTAAGTTTTTGTATATATAGGATCGCTCTAGGTCGCTCGTAGTCGCAGTCGTTAGTAATGTTTATACTATTCGTATATTGCTATATTAATACTTATCGACTCGTCGACTTAGTCGTATTAGTCGACTCGGTCTAAACTAGAATATACTAGTAGTACTATAGGTTTAAGTATATTACTATAATAGTTTTTTAACCGTCGTTACTATATATCGCTATATCCTGCCTTATACGTTCTCTATTAACTATAAAATTATTCTTCGCCGCCTTAGTATTATTATCCTCTATATTTCGGAGGTATAATTTCTATATACTCTACTCGGTACGTTGCCTTTTTATTACTCGCCTATAAGCCTTTATAGCTCGCATTTCCTTCTCCTCCTATTCCTCGTCGTAAATTGTATTATATGTCTCGAAATTAACTATACTATTAATATAGCGAGTCCTATATAGGGCGCCTTCGTCTATAGGTATAGCGTATAATATATAGATAGATATTTCATTTGCCTGTTGTAGTGCCTTTCGGCCTATATAGGTCTGTTTCTATGTATTGTTTTAGGTAGGAAACCAACTTAGTTAGTAAAAACCTCCCTCCTATCCTATTTATAAGTGTTAATCTTCCTCGTTTCCTTATTTTCCTTCCTCTAGGGTATACTAGTATTATAGTTGTTACCCTCTGACTACCTTGCCTACTGCCCTGCCCTTCTTTCCCCCTCTTCTTCCCTCCTTCTTATCTACTCCTTAGTTTCCCTTGCTAGTGCGAATTGTTGTATAAATCCCTGTTTAATAATCCACTTTACTATCCTCTTTAGGTCTTCTTTGCTCTAGATTAGCTTATCGTATTCCCTTTCTATTGCTTTTAGTCTCTAATTACTTCTGCCTTCTAACTATTAAGGGCAGACTAGCAGCATATACTTAGGGTTCTAAGATTGGTAGCTATATTAGTACGCTCTGCTTTCAATTCCTAGGACGTTTCTTCTAAATAGGTAAGACCTAAGTCTAATATGTTCAGATCTGATTTAGATAGCTAGGCTTGCCTCGGCCCTATTTAGGTCCTTATAGAGCTAGTAGTTATATTAACTAAATTTGATTAGTGCCTTTAGGGTTCCTAGTCTAACTTGTGTTTTGTTCTATTCCTACTCCTATAGGTGTTTAGCAATTAACTCTACTAGGCTTTGTTTCTCTCCCTTTAGCTTGTCTTCCTTTAGCCTTATATTTGGTCCCTAAAGCTCTTTCTCTAGCATTTCTCTTATTAAGACTCTATATTACTCTAGGTCTTTGACTTTCTAGAGAGTTATTTATAGTCTGTCTCGCCTCTTAGTCCTAATGTACTAGGCTTTTATCTTATCTAGTGCCTTTTAGATAGTCTATTAGACTAGGTATTCTATTGTCTTTGCCGTATATTAGTGTCTTAGTCCCTTAAAGTATTGTTTAACTAGTAGGATCCCTAATTCTATTTCCACTACCCTTGTTAGTATAGTTTTGTATACTCCTAGGATTTTCTTTAGGCTTTAGGTTTAGGACCTACTAACTAGTTGCTTAATCCTCTTTAGTGTTTTCTCTTAGGCTGTCTATATCTGTGCTCTATATAGCATTGCTAGCTTAACAATTGCTTTGTATATAACTTTAGCTTTCTCGAATATAGCCCCCTATATAGAGGCTGTAAGTCTATTAATAGATTATATATTGGCATCTACCCTCTACTTTGCCTTCTTTACTTATAGTCCCTAATTTAGTTTTGGATCTAGCTAGATCCCTAGTACCCTAAGCTCTACTAATAGTTAGGTTTTAAAGCCTTAGATAGTAATTGATTGCTTTATATTATAGGTTGATTTAGCCTTACTAAAGTAGATAAGCTAGTACTTTTCTAAGGCGAATTTTACTCTATGCCTCTTTGCCTATTTTTTATACTCCTAGTGCTTCTCTTCTAGGATCTTGCAGTTGGTTTCTGTTGTCTTAGACTAGGCTAGGATGTTTATATTATCTATAAACCCTAATACTAATATGTTTTTTGATTCTAGGAGTAGGAGTAGGTCTGCTATAAAGATAAGGAAGAGAATTAGGGAGAGTGTTAATCCTTAGGGGATTCCCTTTTTAGTTAGCATTGGGTCTAATTTAAATTTGCCTAGAATAAGCTATATCGATCTTTCCTATAGGAAGGACTAGATAAATTGGACTATCTAGTTTAGTATAGCTTTCTGTTTAAGTATATATAGGAGTCTTTTATAGGAGA